ACTCTCAGGATTATTATCATCATCATTATTATCGCAATCATCTGCATCGTTATCATCAGTATTAAATTATTCTAAAATAGTTATTATTACTCTTATTAACGTCTATCATTATGAATGAATTCCCATGCACAGTTACAGCTAAAATAATTATTCTAATTACCTCAATTCCCATTTACTGTCGATCTCAACAAAAAATCGAAAATTCTTAAAGTATCTACGTGTATAATCAATAATTTCATCATGATATACTGCATATTAATAACTTTACTGAAACTTGATGAAGTGTAACCCTAGATTTCAGTTGCATTCCTGTCTATTTATAATAATATTTAACGTTACTTATTCCATCTCTCATTAATCATATGCATATTTACTGACGTATTTTTTTTTTTTTTTTAGGATTGAGTGAGTTTACCATAAAAAATACGGTTCGAACCCATCACTTTATATTTAGTTATCGAAGTAAATTTTATTGTGGTTGAATACTTTCCGAGAAATGTTTTTTTGTGAAATTGTCTCCGAGCAAAAAAAAAAAAAATAATAATCATAATAATAATAGATAAATAAATATATAAATAGATAAAATAAGAAATGAATAATATCGATTTTTTTCTCCAATTGTTCAATACAAAAAAGAAACGAATTTACCTTCACACTTAAAAAAAAATAATAATAATAAATAAATAAATAAATCGTCCAAACAGGCTTAAGTAAAATACCTTTTCTCAAAACGAGTAAGCAAATAAAATAAAATAAAATAAAATAAATAATAATAAAAATGAGAAAGAAAGAAAAGAAGGAAAGACAAAAAAAAAAAGAAAAAAAATCATCCAAATAATCTTAAACAAAACACCTTTCCTCAAAATAAGTCACAAAATAATAAAAATTAAAAAAAATGATATAAATAAATAAAATAAATAAATAAATAAATAAATAATCAGGAAAGACAAAAATCAAAACAAAAAAGTAAATCATCCAAATAATCTTAAACAAAACACCTTTCCTCAAAACTCGTCACAAAAAAAAAAAAAAAAATCAATCAATACAAAACAAATAAATGAAAAAAAAAAATAAAAAGTAAAAAAAACCGGACCACATAGCACATAGCACATACCTCTCGGCGATGCTGGCCGTCCTAATCGTCTCTATGATGATGGCGTTGGGGTCCGGGTGGGCGTGCGTGAGGGTGATGCCCAGGGACGTTCCCGGGGCACGTTCGATCTCCACCAGCAGCGGCCCGCCCGACGCCCGCACGTTCTCCATCACGGACACGTCATACCTGCGAGGGGGAGAAGGGGAGAGTATGTTGGAGATTACTTTTTATTTTTTTATTTATTTTTTTTTTTTTGGTTTATTTATTTATTTATTTATTTATTTTTTGAGCGGGTGGGGATGGTCATATATTTTCCCTTTTTATTTATTTATTGTTTATTATATTTATTTAATTTTTTTATTTATTTTTTATTGTTATTTTTTGGGGGAGGGTGGTCATGTATGTAATAGTTTTTTTTTCTCTTTTTTTTTTTTGGGGGGGTCATGTATGTAATATTTGTTTTCTTTTTTATTATATATATATTTTGATTACTATTATTGTTATTATTATTTATTAATTATCATTATCATTATCATTATCATTATCATTATCATTATCATTATTATTATTATTATTATTATTATTATTATCATTATCATTATTATCATTATCATTATTTTTATTATTATTTTTATTATTATCATTATTAACATTATTATTATCATTATCATCATTATTATTATTATTATCATTATCATTATTATTATCATCATCATTACTTTTATTAAGATTATTATCATCATCATTATCATCATTATCACTATCATTATCACTGTATCATCATTACATTCTTTCCACTCTCCAAAGGCAACTTACTCGACGGTGAGCGTGGCAGAGCGCTCGATCCTCCTCAGTGTCTCCTGAGCTTCGGTGAGGGACACACGCGTCAGGTCCCGGCCGTCCACAGTCACGAGGCGGTCTCCGGCTTTGATCGTGCCCTCCCTGCGCGGGGAAGGAGGCAGGACGTGGCAGAGAATGGGAATAGAAAGAAATATATATGTAGATTATCCTTACAGCAGAAGGACCAGTTTTATCCAGACGTTGGAGAGAAGACAGAACGTTGAGAAGATGATAGAAGAAAAAAAATCTTTAAAAAAGGACAGGAAATCTTAAAAAAAAAGAACAGAAAATCTTTAAATACAGAAAATCCTTAAAAAGAACAGAAAATCTTCTAAAAAAAGAACACAAAACCTTGTTTAAAAATCCCCAAAACAACAACAAACAAACATCCTTGCGAAACTCACCTGTCAGCGGGACCCCCCGGCCTGACGTGGGTGATAACGAGGGGTCGAGTCTTCGTAGCATCATGAGACGAACCGCCGCGAACCGTGAACCCGAAGCTCCCTTCCTCCTTCTCCAAAACCACGTCCACCGTCCTCCCCACCACGCACCCGCTCCCTTGCACCG